GGTGGAGAGGATGTAATATAAAGAGCGGAGTCTATAGTTATTTGAACTAGTGATGCTTTGGATTTTGATGTGACCCATCTTGGTGTTCATTATGATGCAATCCGAGAAGCTTCCTTGGAAAATGACATATTGCCACCCATACTACATCATGAGAAACAGTCGATAACTGATGAACCTTCCCAACGGCATTTGTTATCTTCTCAATTAACCCCTTAACATTGAGCAAGTATAAATGATATAAAAAAAACTATGTGCGAAAAATGTTTTAGGTGCCGTATTTTCAGTATTTTGCTTATGGCATTTGGTAAGGGGAGCTAGCTTAGTGTTGTTTTTTTAACATAGAGAGCGCATTTGGGACTGATTAATGATCTAACTGGGAAAAAACTAGTGGATTAAAATTTTAGTAATTCAACGTTTTTACTACTAGGTTGAAACTGGCTTGCTTTTGTCCAAGTCTCCGTCGAATTAATCATTTTAGTAATCCCAAGTCAAAGTTTCTTCATTTTAGTTTGCACCATTTTCCTTTGGTGGTCCCTTAGCTTTTGACATTACTGGCAGGAAATATATGGTAGAATTGACTACTAGGTTGAAACTGGCTTGCTTTTGTGAAAGTCTCCGTCGATTTAAACATTTTAGTAATCCCAAGTCAAAGTTTCTTCATTTTAGTTTGCACCATTTTCCTCTGGTGGTCCCTTAGCCTTTGACATTACTGGTAGGAAATATATGGTAGAATTGATTTCGCCATTAATCAGTCAAGACCTGATTGTAGAATATCATGAATATTAATTTCTTACCAAAAAAAAAAAAAAAAAGGAAAAAAAAAAAAAAAAAAAAAAAAGGAAAAGAAAAAGAAGAAAAAATCTACGTGTTATTTGTCATCTGGAAGTTAAAGGAAATTTCTTAGAGTTTGGACAATAACATAGGGACAATATTTTGATACACTGAAAAAGTCATAAAAATGAATAGTAGTAGTTCCAGTCAATCACTTGTACATCGAATTTCTCCTTTAAAAGGGGACTCTCCCAAAGTGAAAAATCCACCAAGTTCCATACATAAGAGATTTTGCAGCTTTGCTAATAATTCAGATAAGCCAAAATTAGTGTGTTGATAATTAAGAAAGATGGGAATAAAGTTATGGGTAATGTTAGTGATGATTGTGCTTTCATTACTAAATGGATGGTATTGTTTAGGGTGTTGGGAGGAAGAGAGGGTTGCTCTTTTGCACCTCAAAGCAAATATAAACTTTCCAAATGGAGAGTCGCTGCCTTCATGGGTTGTTAATGAGATTGGAACTGACTGTTGTCAATGGCAAGATGTTGAATGCAGTACAACTCGACGAGTAATCCAACTTAATCTGGATTTTGCTAGGCCTTCGAAATTAGGAGATTGGTATTTTAATGCCTCTCTATTTCTTCCCTTTCAAGAGCTCAAAAATCTCTCTTTGTCAGGGAATCAATTAGTAGGTTAGATTGAGAATGAAGGTACGATGCCATCTCTCCTTAGGTAGCTAGCTAATTCAATTTTGATATTTCTATTTTATTTGACTATATATTGAACTTTGTTGCAGGTATAGATAGATTGTCAAAGTTGAGAAATTTGGAGGCCCTTGATATGGGTGACAATTTTTTTGATCACAAAATTTTGTCATCTCTTAGTCAACTTTCTTCTCTAAAGCATTTGGGACTTCGAGGCAGCTTTATAGAGAGAGAAAACTATAGCAACAGTAAGATCAATATACTTCATATTGTGGTGGTTCTTTCGTAGATCATGTGATCATCAGAGAATCAACCCTTTAGGAAATTAGTCAACTTATTATAATTAAAACTTTCTTTATTACTGCATAAGACAAGAAAATTCTCTAAACCTTTAATTTTTTCTATTGAAGGTACAGATCAAACGATCAATTTAGCCTTAAGCTGTATTACGAGAAAAAGCAGAGGCAGTAAATAATTTTAAAATACAGTAACAATACAACATTTTTGAGAAAAACATATGCAAGTAATCAACAATACGTGCAAGAATTTTGGGAGAGTGAAGAGAAGATAACGGAGTTCCAACTTTTACTAATTCTATGAATGCAAAAACATGGTCCATGGAAAAAATAATATAGAAGCCAGAAGCTCAACTCGAGATTTTATTATTAATTTCTGTTGTCTATAAAATGAAAATCTCGGTTTCATTTGAGATAAATCTACTTACCATACTTTAACTTGAAAATTATGCAAATTGCTCTCTTATTACATCAAAACATTAGCCAATTATTCCTTCCTAATAAGTTTAGCATTACTAAATGTATATGTTAATCGTACTGAGATAGATATTAATACTGCTAATCAACCCAAGTTGGAAGATTAAGGGCATGCTTGGTACTTGAAAGTATAACAAATAAGACATTTTCTTCTTTAATATTGGAATACACCTTATCACAAAAGCCATAATATTATTTTCATGATTCCCATCCATTATGATTGTCTTTCAATGTTTAATAGCTTGACGAAACAGCAGCAATAATATTATTCAGTGTTTCATTATGTAATTCACCTTTCTTTTTGTTTATTTGTTCTCTCTTGGCATCATTTCAATGTTGAATAGCTTTGAGGAAACATATTATTTTTGACGAAAATCATTGTGTAGGTCGTGAAAGACTTTTTGGATTATCCAATCTAGAAGTTCTTGATTTTGGGCTTAATAATTGGTTTAGAGATTACAACATTCAATCGATGCTAAGTGAGTCTCCTTTTCACAAGCGTGATATATTTTTTTAGGTCAGACCATCTTCTAATATCTTGTATTTTTTGACAGATCTGAATGATTTTATCAATTTGAAGGAACTCGACCTAAGTGAAAATGAACTTATAAGCTTGGGTACCATTTATGGTATATCATCATATTTCGTTCTTCATCCTCATTTTTTTTAAATTTCCTTTTCTTTCATTACTTCACTTGTGCCTTATTATGTATGAAGGAAAGCATTCAAGCTATTTTGCTCCTGGGCACTTCCCTTTAACTAAATAGTAGTTTCTTGTGTATTAGATATTATATTGTAACTTACTGTGGATTTGGTTATACAAACAGATCTAAAAAATTTGACGGTCCTTAATATACAATCAAATTGCTTCAATAATAGCATTTTCTCCTCACTTCACGGGCTATCATCACTTAAGTCTCTAGATCTCTCTCACAATAAACTAAAAGGGACCATCCAAATGAAAGGTTAGTTCTACAGTTTAGAACTCCTTATTTTTCTTACTTGTGTCAAACAAAATTGAGTTCTCAATCATTATTTTCACATTTTGCTTGTACATGTTTATTTCTCTACCTCCATCAAGATTTACATGCTTTGAGTAATTTGGAGGAGCTCGATCTAAGTGGTAATGAGGTCGAATACTTCACAACTCCAACAGGTACTCAACTAAGTTTTTTAAGTTTATATTTTCCGAATAATGAAAGTTAATATGCTTATACTTGAATATTACCCTAGAGAGTTCTATGTTTCAGGCGTCAAAAGTTTGCATCATCTCCAAGTGCTAAAATTAAATTCCATAAGTGTCTCCAACATTAGCAACATGCTGCAATCTTTGAGTACATTCTCATACCTCAAGCACTTCTATTTTCAGAACAATTATGGAAACGGAAGCGTTAAATCTTATGGTAAGCCAAAAAAGCTGTAATTCCTAGTCACAAAAATTAAAATACTAATTACAATATAGACTCTAATTCTCATGCACATCCATTGCTTACATGTATAAGAGCTGAGACATTTAAGATGGCTGGAGGGATTGTTCTTGGATAATTCCAATGTAGATTGGAACTTTCTACAAAGTATTGGAGCCCTAACTTCCCTGAAGATTTTATGTTTGTCCAGATGCAGACTCAATGGCACCCTTCCCATTCAAGGTAAACTTCAACTGCTTGTTTGACAAACAAAGTTTTTCCTGAATTGGCATGTTGATTAAGAAATTGTTTCTTCAGTTATTTCTAGTTTCACAATTTTACAACTTTTTGTGCATCTCGATTGAACTTTTGGTTAATGAATGCAAAGAAATCTCACGGTTTTGAAAAATTACTACAAGATTTTTGAGAAAACAATAGATATTGATTACCTCATTATCAAATATAGAAAAAAATTGTGAATAATAAAAATGAACCAGAACATCTCTTGTCTATCAAAAGAAGTATTTAACTTTGTCAATTAGGACTTTATAATTAATATAATTTAAAGAGGTTCGGCTAACCTTACATAGTTAAAAGTAATTATACTTTACCAACTATAGCATTTTTTTTTTTTTTAATTGGTGAGAGTAGAAATAAGTAAGTGAATAGCTACATTCAACACAAGTAACTTATTGCCATCTTTCACCAATAAAAAATTCACTTCTAAATAGAAACTTTCTTACTTGAAAGTAAGTTCAGAAACCCAAAAAAATAAAAAAATAAAAAATTGCTTTCTTTATTTAAGCGAAGCCTTGATATTCCCTGTTTCATTGGTGGGTTTTGACGTAGTAATTGTATGCTTTTGATTTGCAGGGTTGTGTGAACTTAAAAACCTCCAAGAGTTAGATCTTAGTTGGAATGAGCACAAAGGAATATTTCCTTCATGTGTTGCAAACATGACATTTCTTAGAGTGATTGAACTCTCACACAATACTTTCACCGGAAATATTGCCTCCCCTCCACTTTCAAAACTCACGTCGCTTGAATATCTCTCCCTCTCAAGTAACAACTTCCAAGTTCCAATTTCTTTCAAGGCATTCTTTAATCATTCAAACTTGAAGTTTTTATTTTTGGAAAACAATGAAGTTATAGATGACACCGAGTCAGGAAATTTGTTTCCCAATATTCAACTAGAGGTTTTTAGTATGCCGAATTCGAGAGGTCGTCCATCACTGCCCAACTTCCTTTACTATCAATCCAATTTGAGAATTCTCGATCTCCCAAATAACAACATAGGACCGAATTTTCCATCTTGGTTGTTGGAGAACAACACAAGACTTAGGGGACTATTCCTGAGGGATAATGCTTTTACAGGACCCCTGAAGTTGCCACCAACAAGCACCATTCCCAACATGGAGACTTTTGATGTATCCAATAACAAGTTCAATGGGCATGTTCCAACTAATATAACTTCAATTTTTCCAAACTTGGTTGCATTAAACATGTCAACAAATATGTTTGACGGTTGTTTACCTTCTAGTTTCGGTGACTTGAAATCTATAAAATATATAGACTTGTCCAATAATAACTTGTCCGGCACAATACCGCAAAAATTAGTTATGGGATGCTTTTCTTTGAAATATCTCAAACTATCAGATAATAAATTGCAAGGACAAATATTTCCAGAATCTATCAACCTGCTGGACTTGGAATATTTATATCTGGATAACAATGAGTTCTCAGGCACCATTCCAAAGAGCTTGTCTACCATCCCTCTTCTAGTGTTAGACGTTAGTAACAACAGTTTGTCAGGAAGAATTCCTACATCAGTGACTAATATGACAACAATAAATCAAATTTCTTTGTCGAAGAACCAGCTTGAGGGTCCAATTCCAGAGGAAATTTGCAATCTCGGTGATCTTAACCTCTTAGATTTATCTGAGAACAAATTATGTGGTTCAGTCCCATCTTGCTTCAATCTATCATACATACGACACATCTATCTGAACAATAACCAATTGGAAGGTGAGCTTACATATGCATTTTATAATAGCTCTTATTTGGTGTCATTGGATCTTAGATGGAATAAGTTCACTGGAAGTATCCCTCAATGGCTTGGCGATCAGTCGAGCCTGAGCATTATCCTTCTCAGAGGTAACCATTTTGAAGGCACAATCCCTCACCAATTTTGTGAGATGAATGAACTAAGCATGATAGACCTTTCTTTTAATTTTCTTTCGGGTCAAATTCCACACTGCTTTGGTAACATGGCGCGAGACAGAACAGTGGATAAGTCTGGAAAATTTGAAGAACCATTCATTTCTTTAAATCAAACAATCAAGTCTTACATGGAAAAGGTTCAGTTAGAAAGGGCCTATCACTTGTTTTCCCAAGACGCTAGATATTTGCAGTTAGCTGATGTGCCGATTAGAGCAACATTCATAACAAAGAAAAATTCTTATTCTTACAAAGGTATCATCCTCAATTACATGTCAGGAATTGATCTCTCTTCTAATAAATTACATGGTGAAATTCCGGATGGCCTTGGAAATTTAAGTGAGATCCGCGCACTTAACTTGTCCCACAACTATCTTATTGGAACAATTCCAGAAACATTCTCAAACTTAAGTCAGATTGAGAGCTTAGATCTCTCCTATAACAACTTAACTGGGAGGATACCCGCTGGTCTGATCAAGTTAAATGCTTTGGAAGTTTTCAGTGTGGCGCATAACAATTTAACAGGTGTGATACCGGAGAGTAATCAGTTTGGAACTTTTGATGAAGGTAGCTATCAGGGAAATCCTTATCTTTGTGGCCGTCCATTACGTGACGACTGTACTAGCACTGAATCAACACATATCTTGCCATTTGCTGATGATGAAAGTGAGGAGCACGGTTTCATGGACATGGAGTTCTTCTACATAAGCTTCGTTGTAACTTATTTAATTGTAGTGCTTTGCATTGCTACAGTTATATCCATAAATCCTCACTGGAGAAAAGTATGGTTTCATTTCATTGAGGTTTATGTAATCCATTTTTGAGGCCACGTGTTCTAAACAATATATATTCCCATTTTCCAAATCAAGGTATCTGCTTTAATTCTGTATGAAGATCATTATATACTATACTAGCTTTTATAATTAATATATATTTACAATCTATCTAATCAGTTTTTGTCATTTTTCTTTCTAGATTTGATAATTCGAAAGTAATGAAGCAGTGAAGCCAAATATAACAGCATGGTACGAAGCCAAGATGGTCGTGTGCATGCATATTCAATCATAAAAGTATGAAATGATTTTCAATTATCTGTACATGTATTAATAGATGGGAATGTGATTTGTTTCCCAGCTAAATGTTTTTGTTTGAGAAAAACAATAAGGAGCAACATGGCATTTGATTTTTGAAATAGCACTTGAGTATCAAACATTAGTTTAATAAAGTGATTTATGTTAGAGCTTCTTTATTTATTCTTTTTCCTCCATATATAGAATTTATCATTACTTTTGAGTCACATTTTGTCAAAGAGAGAGTGTGCAACCTACTATTCAGTTTGCCATTCTTGTTATGAAAAAGTAGTAGTACCTTGGAGGGATTGTTTTTGGACTCTTCTTCTCTGGATGCAAAATTTCTTCAAAGAATTGGAGTAATGACTTCTCTAAAGGTTTTGTCTTTGCCTGTGTGTGGATTGTATTCGTCAAAATCCCGCAAGTGTGGGGGTTCGTTGTACAGGTAATAATAGTGATAAGAAAGTTATTGTCCCACAAGAAATAAGACTCAATTTAGTGTATTTGATATATTTAAATTCGTGTTTGTAACCAAAAGATGATTGGTGAGTAGCTAATTAAGTTTTGTAATTAAAACTTGTAAAATAAATCAAAGTTTGGTTTAAAAATCAAATGAGTAAATGTATTGGATTTTCCGATGCTTTTGATTAATTCGTAGTTCTAATTCTCAACCATTAATACTTATCTCAATTCATGCAATTGTGCTGATCGATAATTCCACTTTTATTTATTATTCTTTCCTAAGATATAATAAACCTATGATTACCACGAGATAATCCTATTCCTACTTTGAATTTATATAATAAACATACATTGATATTTAGGATTATCACACATGATCACACACACCATAAATATTATTCATAACATTTATTGTCCGTGTGTTCTAATAACAGTGTTCTACCTGCTGTGAGTTTTCCAGCACTACAAATAATTAACTTATTGTCCTAATGGTGTGCAAACAATAAAACAATGTAAATATGCATATTAATGGAATCACAATGCAAAAATGAAGATAAAAACACAAAGACTCGAATTAAAAACTAAAAATCAAACAGTTTTGTCATCCATCCAATACAAAGAATTTAACCTAGCATATTAATGTAAGAAATACATGAAAAATAAAATAAAGTCATCACCCGAATCATTAACTATGAAGAAAATCCGAAAATCTTCAATTAATACCTACAAATTCAGATCCAAGCAATGAATTCTTCGTTCTTCAACGTATATTCTCTCTATTTCTCTCAAAAGTCGGCTTCCGATCTGATTCCCCCTAGGTTTGGACATATCCTCCTATTTATATTGTAGCAAGAAGACTTCTTATCAAAATAAAATAAGGAAACCTAAATTTTTCTGCGTTTAACATTGAGGCACATCCTTAGTATAATATAGGGTATGCAACTGGAAGCCTTTGGGGGTGCCTCAATCACTCATCTTTGGGTAGAGGTACGCACCTCCCCTACAAGCGAGGGCGCACGCATTGCCTAGGTTTTAACAGCAGAATAACTTTTAGTATTTTTGTCATAACTTTCTCTTCCCATATCAAATCAAGGTGATTCAAAGTGTACTGAAAAGCTTACTCAGGGGGATACAATTCTTCTAGAGATATCATTTTTCCAACTCGACTGTTTGCTCTATCAAAATTGTATCTCAATGTGAAACTCAAAATTCAAAGTATAGCTTTTTTTGTTGAAAGTTGATGTTTGATAATATTTTGACTATTATTCATCCCTTTGACTTCTTTCCTCATCTAATTGACCCTAGACACTCTCAAATCTTCATCCTGGGATCCGAAACAACTTTTGAGTATTTGCATTTTAGTCCCCAAACTTTGGATTTGCTATATTTTAGACCTTTCCATTTTTTCTTTCAATTCTTCTCCGAAACATGAAATTTTCCTAATAAAAGCAATAAATAACAAGTTGGTACTAATTCGTCCAAGGAATAACAAAATATCATCATTTAGGATTCCAAATAAGTGTAGCAACTAGACTTATCAAACCCCCAAGCTTGAATATTTATTTGTCCTTAAAGAAATCTAAAACTCAACAAACACAAACACCCTAGTGCTAGTTACCTAATTGGTGGCAATCAATAAAGCAATGCAAAAAGATTTAGCTAGCTAACCCGACTTTTAATCTCAGGATTGAAATCATAATATCAAATCTATGTACTGCTTCAAAATCACAATATGGTAGTTAAAATCTACATTTCTAATGTAAAATTGATGTGTATCAGAGAAGAATTAAGTATAGTATCATGAATTCACAAGTAGTTTCAATTTCTAACCCCAAATGGTCAAATATGTTCTTTCATCACTCTTAAGACTCGCACACTACCAAACTTATTCTTTTCGCTCTTTTCAAGTGTATGACCTAATATTGAATTTTTATATTATCCTCACCTCTCCAAGTTAGGTAAATCTCACTAATCGCAAGTCAATATATCAATAAATAAGGATTCTCTATAATTTGGTTGCTTCAATCTCTAGAATCCAACTAGGCTAATAGTCATTTATCAAAAGTCAATTTTCTTAAACAAGTGTTTGGGACATAACCAGGCATTTTGTGCATCTTCTATTTCATGCACTTGCTTCTTCTATTTTTTTCTCAATTTTTATTTAAACGCTTTTTTTCCATTTTTTCTTTATTTGCAACATCCTCTTTTTTAAGCTTTCTAGATGGCCACTTTAGTGAGTTTTAGGCCGATGACTCCCAAGTCAGTTGACTTTAGGGCAACATGTTTTAACACCATTACAGGCTTAATAGCCCGAGTCATAAATGCTACAAAGAGAAATTTTCAAATAATCTCATTAAACACCTATCCAAGTAACCATATTTCTAACTTGAGACTTTTACCCAATTTCATCTTATTAGCCTTAGACAATCCAATTTCATCTTATCAGCCTTAATTTACTTGCTCAATATATATCAAACTTCACATGAAAAAGGACATGAAAAAGGAAAATTAATCTAAGTAAACAACCTATTCACCATTCATAGATTGATTCGTAATTCAATATAATCAACATTGCCAGCTAGGCTAGCTAACTCATGCAAGCACACAAACTTGAATTAGACATTGTCCTCAATGTCTTAAATTCTAAACCCACATATAACGGGGTAGGAAAGAAAATGAAGAAAATACTCCCTTGCTATGACGTGAAATTCAATGGCTAGCTATTTCTATTACTCTCGTCGTCTCCTTGGTTAGCGTTAATTTAAGGTTCTATGATTTCATGTTCCTGCACAATGCAGTCAAATAACACATTAAAGATCAAATACCTGGAACACCTGTTATTTAGCTCAAATATCTGATAAACGAACTAATTCTCGAGGACATAAGAGGAACGACAAATGGATGATGAGTCCCTAATTAAAAATAATAACTAATCTAAAGTATCTTATGACTAGAAAGCATAATAAATAAAAGGAAAGAAAGATTGGATTGACTCCCAATTAGCGCTTTGTTTAAAGTCTTTAGCTTGATTGTATTGTTTCGGTATCATGGAACTTCGAAGAACGCTTTTGATGTCTTGCTCAGTTTGTTTCTTTTTTGTTTGCTCCACTCTTCGTTGCTTATAAAAATTTTAACCTGCCCCCTCCAATATGATATGACTTGTCTATCTTATCCAATTCAAATTCAACTCTTTAGACTTCTTCCTCCCCTTCGGGCTTAATTACAAATTTAATGATGGAGCAATCAATAAAGTTGACAGAATGTGGGTTAACGTCTTCTTTATTAATTACCTCTCCTTCATTTTGTTTATGTAATTGAACTTTCATTGTCTTTGTTCTCATCTTCCATAATTGATATTGTATTGGGTTGAATGACTGGTTCACAATCTACATCTATGGACAATGGAAACTCTTCTCCTTTAAAATTTTCAAGTAGATTATACATCCACCTTTTAAATTCATACCAGAGTATGCCCTATCCACACAAAGTTTGTTTTCATTCAACTTGGCAAGATCAGTGTAGTATTTTGCAAGTACCTCTTCATTTAGCATGGAAGGGCTGAATCTCACCAGAGTGTTGAAAGAGATACACTCGCCCATAGGCATATAGCATTCAAACGATGTGTTAATTTCTAATCTTCGACATCTTAAATTTTTTTTAAGCCGTAGGAGCTTAAGCAGATAGGGATCAGTGCATGTATTCAAACAGTGGCTAGTATAATGCACCCCATAGCATAATTCACAATAGATAGCTTCTTTGTTATAGTTCATGTTGAGATTATTTATAGCAAAAATCTCTTTACCATGTCAGCATCAAAATCCTAGATGCACTACTGAATGACACTTGGAAAAAATACTAAACAAGAGAGATTAAGGTGGGTAGCCAAAATCAACAAAAAAACAAAAATAAAAATCGAATCTAATATCAACTACTAAGCTAAAATTAAATCCGTTATTCTCCAGCAACAACGCCAAAAACTTGTTTGTTGAATACTGTAAGTGTATGGGTTTGTTGTACAAATAATAATTGTGATGTAGAACCCCAAATAATTCTAGACACCTTAGTGGCACTAAGACATGAATATTGGATGACTATAGTATACTTCAGATTTTTAGTCTCATTTGAGACCCATTTTTGACATAGGAAACATTCTATTTGGAAAATGATATCTAAATAAAAGTTGTAGTTCCTTGAGTTAGCTTTCTAACGCACTTTGAATTACCTCAATCGGATATCGGAAGAAGAAGTTATGATAGAAACACTGAGAGCTGTGCAGTGTCAACCGGACTACAACTGGTCGACCGAAACTGCCTGAATTAAAAATTCTCGTTTTTCTCTAGAATTTAAATATTTATTTTCATCAATTATTTTTTCAAAGGGCCACCCACGTTTTTGGCAATAAAAATCCCACTAAATTGAAGCATTTAACCTCAAACTTAAATGGCACCCATATTTTCTCTCTTAAATGAAATTTGACCCTTCATTTACTTTAAGTTATGGGGTATTTACATATAAATAGAGATCTCATTTCACTCATTTTTTCTCACACCAAAAGCAAGAGCTTTTACATCCTAAAGAAAGAGTTTCCACGAGAGAAAAAGAGAGGGACGAAAACTATTTTTCCTA